CAAGCTGTTTACGAAGCATCCTTAACGGAACCATTTTTTGCAATACAACTAAGCTTCATCGTATTAATTCAAAAAGTTTGACGTCATGGCAGACATGAATAACGATGCAAAAAGGGTTTACATTGAACATTCACAGAAGACCATTTCTGTTTTGATGGGAGCAGGTTTCTGCTTCTACAGATTTCAACCTTCGTCAATCAAGTGATAAAACTCATTGATTCCTTTAATTTCATAAGAATAAAGGTTAAACATAAAGGAATCGGTGAGTCTCCCTTGACTGCTGAGGGCTGGGTACTCCAGCCGAGATCCGGTCTCATCCAAACAAGAATTTGTCGCGTGTAAATATTTTAAAAAAATTATTTTTCATTGTAGCTTTATCATGTTTAGCGTTTTTCTTTACTACACTATTTTTTACAAACGAGAGACTTCATTGTTCCGATGACTGCTGTAACGTCCGTAATTAGATGGTAATATTCCGTTCCACTGAAATGCTAAATAAATGGTTACTACCACTGCTGTGCTGAGACAGAGATAGTAGGTTATCGATGTGCAAACAGTAAGTACAGAATGGTATTTTGGTGTATGCGCATGGAATCTATGGCTATGCTGTCGTCTGCTGTTCAGTTTAATCACCTGACAGCTCACTATATTAGCACCAAGGTGAAGTTTAACTGTAATCCTAATCGACAGTTATATCCTTAAGACAAATCTGCTTCGAAGAAAGCTTACTGAGATTGATGAATTGAAAATCCTTATAAAAAATGGAGTGTTATCAGTGGCTCTAAACTTTAAAAATTTCAAAAGAGGACAACATTACATTTTTCATCATGTGACACTGGGTTGGAAAAATTGGATGATGTTCACGCATGGATGAATGAACATATTATGTTACTACGATGTTCAGCAATCGGTCATGCGTGTAACAAAGTAACATGACAGCGTTAAGGACGAAGAAGGAGGTCTGTGTCAGTCCGGTGTATGATAGTGGAGTTGGTAGGCAGAGTCTCACTACAGTCATATTTTGGTTGCGTGTTAGTCTAGCTATTTGGAACCGTTGCATAGGACTCTGACCATCGATGATACTGTTTATGAATTAAGGTTATTAAGATGGAAGTACAGAAATGGAACAAACCGAACAAATAGAGAAGTTTTTCTCCGGGCCGTCCACTTTCTGAACAATGAATAAGATTCATGAATCACGAATCACTTCGTCAGTTTAAATGACCCTTTGGTGTTGTTGAAGCTCGCATAAAGGATGTTTTTTTATCGAGGTAACCATCATGCAACGTGGCGTTAAACCGAGGTATAGTAATCCTCATGGCCTGCTTAAGCAGCAAAGATTCAACTCGAATTCAATGACCGCCCATTGCAGCAAATACGCATAAGTCAAGGGGGGTCTCCAAAACTCGGACTTACTTGTGTCCTTGCTGTCGTTTCCGTTGTTGTGAATTTCTTCAAATGAAGCCGTCTTCCGTTTGTCAGCAGGAACGGGCCAAAGTTGAGTGCCAGCGATCGGGTTGACGGCGGCGGAGGCGGCATTAGCGGTCGCATTGTTATTTATGCGGTTCTGAAGCGCCAGCATTCGAGTGCCCTACAAAGCAGAAGCGAGCATTAAGTGGGGCAGAACGATTAATCTAATTACTGCTCGTAGTTACATACACATCCGAATCGTCGTCAAACGAACTTTTGCTCGTCTTCATAAAGAATTGCTCTTTGCGAACAGGGAGGAGCAGAGGGTGAAAGAGGACAGGTGGCGATCGATCGATCGCTCTTGCATGCGATGCGATGGCTGAGGATGGTGCGGCTGAGGCTGCGGCTGCGGCGGCGAGAGACTCCGCACATCGACGGCGAGAACGGCGTATGACCTCCTCTCACGCGTCGTTCAGTCTGTCCTACTTCCTGTCGTCTGTCGCTGAGAATGCCTCGGTGGTAATGGCCACAGAATCGTCGTCCACGACGTCCTCTAATGCGAAATCGATCAGAAACAGGCCATGTGCCTTCCCAGACCGAGCATGATCTCATTATATATGACGACGGCGAATAACAGTCGACATATGAAGCGTTATT